CCTGTAACCCGCCTCCCAGAGCTGAAGCCCACGGGTTTGGGATTGGGCTTTGACCCTGGGCCCCAGCAAGTCTAAGCCAGCCCTGGTTACTCCATTAAAATGGGGTCCTGACCCACAGTTTGAGAACCACTGCTTTAAAGCATTGCCACCAGAGAGGGACTGCAAAGGAAATAAATTACTTCCCAAAGGACTCTCATTAGGATTTAGGTAACTGAACATCTCACCATGCCTGCCCACTAGTACAAGTGGAAGATTGTAGGGTAGGGATTCCATCAGTTTTTAAACCTGTTACAATGAATTGCAATGGGGGTGGGGCACACCCTCTGCATTATGGCAGCATTCTCATGGAGATTTTTCCTGCACAAACATCAGGAAATTCACTGGGTGATTTCCAAAAGAAGCACAAATCAGCTCTCCTGCACATATGTTGCATTTTGTATCACTGTACAAGGTGTTAACAGTAATGCCTTAAAATATGCACAATATAGTCGAGTTGCTGTGGGAACCATAATTTTGAATTTCCTGACTCCTGTGCGGATGGGGAAAAAAATCAACCATAACAGTCATTGCTTTAACATCAGCAAGTTTTATACATTTAATTTCTTTTGTATAGTTTAAAGAGGGAGAAAACAAAAAGATCCCAGATGGATTATAGAAGGAAATATACGCACACACACAAGTTTAAACCTGATCTGAGCATGTCCATCAGGGAATTGTACATACAAGCACATGTACCTCAGGTATTGCAGGCACCCACGCTGGGCATATGCAAATCCGCGTATGTACACAAGTATGTTTTGAAGATGTGGGCCTGTCAGATATGAATTTCCACAAAAGGACATTTCAGAACCACCATTTCACATGCACTGAAGTAAAGTCACCAACCTTAACTGGCAAAGAGTAAGATACGAAGAAAAGGGATTTCCAGCTGAGACATGTTTAGCCCAGCCCCTAACAGCTCAGCCAGGGGAAAAAAAATCTCTTCTGCTTCACTTAGTAAACATGCTATCTTTGAACCTCGACAGTCCCAGTTTGTGTCTCAGCTGTGGTTACATACAAGCCAAACATCAAATCAGGACAAGCATGAAATCCCGCCACAAACTAGGGATCTCCGCTAACTGGTGAAGTCCACTCCAGTGACTGACGCTAGATGTCTAACACAGTAGCAGCATAGCAGTAAAACAACTGGAGCATTTATTTTTAAAATTTTCACTGTGTAATACAAACTGGATTCTTCTGATATCCATGATGCTATCTCCTTCCTTTGGAACTCTATTCTGTCCTGATAACATTTCTCAACTTATTTATAAATCACTTGTCTGGGATTTTATCTTCGTTGGGCAAATATGTCACTGTCATCCCTTCTGTCATCACTGTCATCCACAAATCAAGGGTGACTGATCTTCAGTGGCAGAGCTGGCCATCTTGGGCTCAACTCTTCAAGGGGCTGAGAACTCTCCAGAAATAGTTGGTTCAGATTTTGAATAAAGGTTCAAATAATTTCACCAATCCTCGTTAAAAATCAATGGCCTGATTTTCAGAGGGGCTGTCCAGCAACTGCTCCCATTAAGTTGAACGTAAACTGTGGACGCTCAGCATGCCTGAGATTCAGACCAGTAGACTATAGCCTGGTAATGCCTCCAACGTCACAGCTTATCAAGCGAACAATATTTTATGTTAGCTTAATTTTTAATCCTGACTGGAGCCAAAGAAATTACCCTAAATCCATTTAGATCCTTAACTGCAGCTTTGAATAATTTTCTTGCTCACCATTTAAAGCACCTAAAGATAATAAAGCACCTAAAGATAATAGAAGTTCTCTTATGAATATTAAATCAATTTCCCCAAATTACTGGGGTTTTAAGGGCTAAATCTAAATCAAGTCATTGTTTTATATTGGCTTTAGTGGGTTCAGGATTTAGCTTATGAAGAATATGTACAGGAAGCAATTCTGGTAAGATCTAACAGTTACCTATTTTCTTTTAAAAATGCAGGTTAAAAATTGCTTTCAGTTATAGACAAAAGCCAGTGTAGCTACGCTGATGAATCATAGAATATCAGGGTTAGAAAGGACCTCAGGAGATCATCAAGTCCAACCCCCTGCTCAAAGCAGGACCAATCTGCAGACAGATTTTTACCCCAGTTCCCTAAATGGCCCCCTCAAGGATTGAGCTCACAACCCTGGGTTTAAGCAGGCCAATGCTCAAACCACTGAGCTATCCCTCCCCCTAGAAGTAGAATGTGGCCCAAGATGTCCAATATTTCTGTGGCTATCCACAAAAGCTCCATAGCTGGTGTAAAGCAGTCTAGCTCCATTGAGGTCAGTTTAGTCTCTCAGTTTAAACCAGTTCAGGAAGGCATCCTTAATTTAAGAAGGACACTTAAGCATGTGTTTAGCTTTAAGCAGGTACTTAGATGGTTTCTTGACTTAGGGTGTTAGTTTCCACCAAAGATATCATATTCACAATGAACCAGATTGTATTCCCATTGTAATCCACAGAAGTTTGTACATTGACTTAAGTGGAATCAGGATTTGGCCAACTAAGATACAAGAATAGGACATTTGGGATCATGTACAATACTCTGTCCATGATTAATCACCACTGGCTGAGGGTATGTGTGTGTGGGGGGGAAGACATCACAAGGCAATAAACACATAACTGAATAACACAATTAAAGTATCTTCATTACAAGGTCCAAAGAGCTAATAGAACCATTTAACAAGGCGGCTTTATCTGAGATTAAAGAAATACACTAACACCTCAGCAAACTAACACCAACAAAGTCAGAAACAGAACCTTAATTATTTGAAAGCTGCAAATTAATATGAATTTCTGGCCCATTTCTTTTCCATAGTTGCAGGATCATTTGTGAATCCACCCCACTCTCCACAACTCCCTAGCAGAGATGGTCATTTTTTTTTTAATCAACCTGATTTTACACATGAAAAATGCAGGTTTCTCAAATCCAAAGTTTTCTGCAACAAAAATTAAGTTTTGCAAAAAAAGAAAGAAAGAAATCAATTATCCATTGGCAAAAACTGAAATGAGGGCTGCCTGGCTGGAAGATTCCTGTCAAATTTCACTCTTGGTCAGTGAAACTGACAAAAGCTTTACTGGAGGGTGCCTGACACTCAGCACCCTGACTCTCTTCCTGCCTCCCCCAACCAGCTCCCGGAGCCAGAGAGGGAGAGAGGGCAGGGGCTCTGCTTTCCTGATGCCTTGCCCTTCCCTCTCTCCCAGGGGTCTGGGAGTGTAATTGTCAAAAGCCTTCAAGGCAGGCAAGCTGGGAAGCTGAAACATTCCATTTCAATCCTCCGGAAATGGATTTTTTTCTGAAACAGTTCCCATGAAACATTTCATTTGTACGTTGGCATGATTTTTTTTTTGTCAAAAACATGAATATTTTGCAGGAAGGGATTTCTGTTTTCCTGACAGCTCTACTCCTTATTGATAAGCACCAGTGCTATTAACATACAGAGATGTTAAACATGGGCTGGATGGAGTTTAGGATGCAAGGTAGCCAGAGCTCCAACTAAGAACAATAACAAGGGAGGAAAATGTGAATTTACAGGCAAACTGGAATATCTTTCAACAATCCCTTGAAGGAAACTTTAGGGTACCTTTTTCAAATGTAGACACTTAAGTGAGGAGTTGAGTTCCGTGCTCTGGTGTCCCAATATCAGTTTTAGGCACCTAAGTGCTCTTCTGAATGTCACAATGTAGGATTTGAGGGACAACTTCATTTTACGTAACACAAGAACTAGGAGTCACCCAGTGGAACAAAAGGAAGTATTTCTTCACACAACACAAAGGCAACCTGTAGAACTCATTGCCAGGGGATGTTGTGAAGGCCAAAACTACAACAGGGTTTAAAAAAAGAATTAGATAAGTCCATGGAGGATAGGTCCATCAATGGCTATTAGCCAGGATGGTCAGGGATGCAACACCATGCTCTGACTGTCCCTGTTCTGTTCTGTTCTAGAAGCAGGGAATGGGCAACAGGGGATGGATCACTCGATGATTGCCTGTTCTGTTCGTTTCCTCTGCAGCACCTGGCATTGGCCACTGTCGGAAGACAGGCTACAAGGCTAGATGGACCATTGGTGTGACCCAGTGTGGCTGTTCTTATGTTCTGGGTGTAACGCTATTAAAGCCACTGGAGCTGCATTTAGGATGATTTTTTTCTCTGGGCATGTAAGTCCCTTTATGGGATTGGCTGGTGATTAGTTATTTTTTTCGATATATTATGCTTAGTAATTATCAAAGCTCCTAGAGCCTGGGAGAGGCACTTGTAGTGCATGCGTGTAAATACATAGGAGAAAGTCAAATACATAAATAATGTAGAGTAGGGGTATACCTATATTGCAATCCAACGCCTACGGCACCAAGCCTCAGAACCAAGGTCAGCTGACTTGGGCTCAGGGGGCTTGGGCTGCAGAGCTAAAAATAGCAGTGTAGACATTTGGGCTCAGGCTGCAGCCCAGGCTCTGAGACCCACCCCTCTCGCAGGGTCTCAGAGCCCAACCATGAATATCTACACTACAGTTTTACAGCCCTCGGCTGACCCAGGCCTCTGCAGGCCTTTTATTGGCGTGTATAAATTCCCTACGTGACCACACCTTAAAACTGAGGTCTGAGATACAGTATCAGAAAAATTCCCTACTTGTAAAAACAGTTAGATGTGAAAAAATCTCCCCAGGAAAGTCCATTTCTAGAGACATTTCAGAGTGGACAAAACAGTAGAAAGCATATGGTGGGGAATAGGCCTGTATTAGCCAGGGACTGAACAAGATAATTCAACATTTGTATTTGTTAGGATTCTATGATCATTGTCATCTGCCAAGGGTGACACATGCTACTGAATGATATACAATTTTAAAAGGAGGAACAACCCCATTGAATTCAATGGAGCTACTCCACATCAGTAAGGGGATTACAGACCAGCACTTTATTAATGCTTCATTTACTGTCCTCTAAAGTTCAAACACACATACCTACCTGTTTGCTGCTTCTCTGCCCAGAAGGAAGCAAAGCTTTGGACTTCTCCGCTATTTTCTGCCAAAGGAAAAAAAAAAAGAGATTGGAGTCGAGGCATCGATGGTCAAATATTGGGGGAGAAAAATCACATTTTACTCTTTTTTCATTCACTTTACATTTTTAAAAAATAGAAATTAAAATAACCCTGTAGCTTAGCAATGGAAAAACTGCCTTGAAGAAGTAGACCTTTCAGGAATTCAGTCATTTAAGCTTCAAGCATGACAAGGTTATCAAAACCAAAATATGCATTTAAGAAATGACAGTCAGGACGTGGGTAAGTAGCAATTTACCAGTCAGTTCAGCTTCCTGCCACAACCGGGCATTTGCAAAATGCAACAGCTAATTTTGGCACTATGGGATTTATTTAAAAAGTCAGACGCACAGCACAGATGGAATATGCTGATGAACATGTATCTAACAACAAACAAACTCATGACACAGATATTTTTGACTTGTGATTTAACAAGACAATGCCATCTAATTTAGACCCAGCACTTAGGTTTTTGAAACAGAGGCGGAAAGGTTGTATGAAGAGACATATGAGTAGAAATAATACAGTGGCATTTCTATTATATATACACACTTTAAAGACTAATTAGTTGGGGATTGGTCCTGCTTTGAGCAGGGGGTTGGACTAGATGACCTCCTGAGGTCCCTTCCAACCCTGATATTCTATGATTCTATGGAAACTTTTTAAAAAACACTTTCCTGCAGCGTTGGAAACCCAAACAAACAGCCTGGCTCTAATGCAGGAGAAACAGTAAGTGAATCTTCCCAGACTACTTCTACCATCACATGCAAAAAAGTAAACTGTGTCAATGGTGTAGTGTACACGAGGGTTTTTTAAAAAATAATAAATTCTTTCAACTTCAGTAATATAATGTGCTATCAACAAAGGGACCAATTCAGCAAAGCACTTAAGAACATGCTTGACTTTAATGGGTCTTAAGCATATGCTTACAACTAAGCACATAATTAAAGAGCTTTGCTAAGCAGGGGTGGGACAGCCCACATTTAAAATTAAGTACAGGTTAAAGTGGTTAATCAAGGCCAGAGGAAGAACTAGTTGTTATTCAGATACTTGACTTTTACCCTGATGGTACCTCTTTGGTACCCATCAGAAACATAACTGGTTTGTGTGTGTGTTTAATCAAAATAAATAAAATCCTATTAGATCCTCACAGAAAGTGTCTTGTATGCAAGTGTTAGGGCTGGATTGTATGCTTCAAATAGTTCATTTGCACAGAATCCTCCTTTTCCCAACTTTCGACACAAGCGCATGCAACTCCCATTGCAGAAGGGTAAGTAAGGAGCTCAAGTTTGGCCAGGCTGCGCTTCAGCCGGGTTTGGAGCACTCAGGCAGATGCCTCATTGAGTAGGGCTGGCTGGGACTTTTCCCACAAAGTGGCTTTTTTGCTGGGAAATGCCAATTTGTTGAAACTGAAGCGTTCTGTGGAAACGGTTCGGTTTCAATGAACTTCAGCTGAAATGCCAGCTCACCTAGCGGTTTGCTGGGGAGCCCAGGCTTACAGGGTCCGTAGTTCCAGGGCAACCCTCCCATGTGGGATAGGAAGACCTGGGACACCCAACTCTAGCAGGGGCTCCCAGGTTTGTCTACACAACCCGTAGAAGCTGGGTGGAGAGACTCGGGCTAGCAGGGTTCATGCTAGCGTTCTAAAAATAGCTCTGAGGCTCAGTCCCACAGGCTGTGTAGACACAGCCTCAGGGTATTGGCTTCCAACTCCACTGCAGTTGGGGCCCCCAACTCTGAGGCAGTCTGCATTGTGGGGCTGCCCCAGAGCCAGGGATCCTGAGAGCCCAGGGAGTCCTATGGAGCCGGGGGTAGCTGGTTGCTCTGTTTCAGAATAACCAAAAGGAAACATTTCAATTTTTCTCAAACAACAACAACAACAAAAAACCAGAATGTTCTTTCTGCAGGAAATTTCAAAATGTCTAGTCTTCATTCTGGTTTGACATTAAAACTTTTCTTTAAAATGTCAGAATCTCCTGTGGAATGGAAATTCCGAATTTTGACCAGCTCCACCCCGAGGCTGTCGTATGTGGAACAGACGATAGGAGAAAGGACAGGATTGGGGAAGTAAATGTGTGAGTCATCAGCATAGAGATGACTGGTGAAACCTTGCAAATGGAGGTGGTCACCCAGGAATAAGATGGGGAGGGAAAACAGAAGGAGAGGATTGGCTTTTGGTTACTTCATTTAACAGTTTGACCTGTTGCAGCATTTTCTATTCAGCTATAGGCCTCTGGAATCCTTAGGGTCTTAAACTTTTAATATAGCAGAGCTGTCAAGGTAGGTCAATGTTTAAGCCTAACAATGTGGGACAGTGTCCCTTTAAATCACATACGTAAGAGCAACACTGCACACTAAAGTTTCTTTTTCTCTTTCACCTCCCCTAAAGCCACACAAGCCATCCTGCAGCTGTTGTGTCATCCTACGCTGCGCCATGCTGTGCTGTCATCACAGTACTACAGCTGCCCCTGACATTCAGCCATGGATGGATGGAGCCAGTTTATCAGTAAATTATTTTATATGTTGCTATTTCACTAAATGTTCTGCAGTATTTCCATACACTATGCCACAAAATAACAGTACGAATATGTTGCAATAATCATGCTATATAACACACACAAAAAGACATGAGACACCCTATTGGCCAGTTCCATGCTCTTGGGAGTCCATAGTTGCTGTTGATCAACATATTTCCAAATCCACAAATCAAAAAGTGAAAGAAAGTGCGGGAGTCCTATTACCTTTTGCACAGCTCCATATCGCTGGATGGCATCAGACAGCTGGTTATTCAACCTGTCCAGCTGAAGTCGCTCTTGCTGTATTTAAAAGACAAAAAGAAAAGTAACAAAATCGTTACTAACCAATAAAAGGCTGACAATTCAGCAGAAAGTGATTGTGTATGACCTTGAGCTGTGATCCTGCAAGATCTCCTAAGCTAAGCAGCATTAGATCTGCCTGGTATTTGAACAGTATCTGAATTACTAGAAACACCAAGGTGCTTCAGCAAGTTATTTTGGTTAGTGAGTAAGGGGATGCTTCACACTTTGAGTTTTCCAAGTAGTCTCCCATGTATATACCAAACTGGACTGATTTTGCTTAGTTTATGCAATCTAGCACTTCCAAAGGAAGAGCTGGACACTATTGTTGGACAAATAAAACTAGATCAGAAACAATACAAGAGAAAATACAATAGGGAACAATCCTAGACTATATGCATCCGAAGAAGTGGTTTGTAGCCCACGAAAGCTTATGCTCTAATAAATTTGTTAGTCTCTAAGGTGCCACAAGTACTCCTGTTCTTTTTGCGGATACAGACTAACACGGCTGCTACTCTGAATCCTAGACTATTTGTCTCCTAGAATACTTTATTATTTATTTAATAAATAGACTATGTAGTATCTGGACTACACGACCTAATAGGCCTTTTGCATGTCTAATTTCAACAGGCCAAATCCCGAAGCCCTTATATTTCACTCTGACATTACTAAGTCTAGTCTAAAGAATAAACTTTTGCTGGTAGGAAAGTCGCTTATGGGGGTGATTTTTATGACGTTTTTATACCAGCAAAAGCCTAATGCAGATGTAGTTATACCAAGAAAAAAAATATATGTTTGCTAGTATGGCTTATTTCACTCAGGAAACTGGTACAATCTACAAGGGCAAAATTACTTTTTTTGCCAATATAAGCTGTACAGTTATACCAGCAAACCTTTCCCAGTGTAGATCTGGCCAAAGGCAAATTCCCATTGGCATCAGTGGGAGTTTGACTTCAGGCAAAATCTGAGTAAAGATCTCAGGTTTTGTCCATATGATTTCACAGGAGGTCTGTCAGACATCATGACATTCATTTTAGGGCTGGTCAAATCATATCTGGAGAATACATTAGTGGATGAATTTCACCAGTACTCACAGAACGTTATATTCAGCAAATACTTTTTGCAGCATTCAATCAGCAATATTATTCAGTGAGTACATAATGTGATGAATATCAGTGCAATTTGCCAAAAAAGCAGAAAAATGCCTTTTCCGCTATTCGGCCAGATCTAATTGATATGAATTATCATGTCACACTGATGATGCTACAGTCAAGAAACCATTCAGAATATGTAAGCTTTATTCTTGTTACAAATCTCCATATTCTCTTTTGGGAAAACAGAGTATTTGTTCACGAGCTGCAAAAAAATACAAAATCAAAAACAAAAAACAACAACAAACACTCTGTATCCATTATACAACAAACACACAAAATGGAGCAATACTATAGGTATATTGAAAATGAAAAGCAAACATATTACAGCAGGATGCTCTAGACACCACATTTTAATTCATGCATTTATTTAATGACAACACATCTATAGAAGAGATGTTCTCAATGGAACAGAAAGTTGTAGCATGGTTTCCTGCAGCTCTTTTTAATGCCAAGGCAGACCTCAAATGTCTTTGATGCAGGGGACATATTAATTCTGGAAGAATGAATGTCACATCAAAAGGAGTTTATTTGGATGATGACAAATGACTGATTTGACCATTTTGTCTGATGGATGATTCTGTACTTGGTCTGTACTATGCCATTAATAATCATCTTCATTCTGATTGGCTTAGGGACAAAAGAGTTCTAATCAGAGGCCGGCTTGTCTATACATTTACCGACATGCTGGGAAGCAGGGCGTCCTCAGTAAGAAGCCCTCCTCTCTGGAATTCACTTCCCTGGGACATATGCCTGAGTTCAAACCCGACCACATTTATGAGAGGATACGAGATGGACTCTTTGCTCAGACCTTCCCTATAACTGCCATTCTAGAATTTCTTATTTTACTATGTTTCTCTCACTTTAAAGTCAGGGGTCACTGAATACTTGTTCTAGTATATGGGAAAGTTGTCTTTCATATTTATATCTTGTAAAGGACAATTAGTGCAGTGATGAGTACCTCATAAATACTTGGAATAATACAGAAATAATACTAATAAACTGGTGCTAATAAAAGTATTATTATTATTAATAATATCAACAATACCTCCAATACTTTCCTTGTAGGAATAAACTGATTTATTATTTTATTTTTAAACCTTCTTCAGCAAATAATGGGGGACCATATTCCACTCTGTTTGACTAACATAGCTTCTCCCACAACTTATACTGAATATACTCTAAGCAGCATTGAGAGATGTAGTAATGGATATCGGGACAGTTAAAAATAAGGTGCACATTGTTTGCATCACAAACAAACACAGCCCGACAAAAGCCAAGATAGTCTTTGCTCACCATGGTACCCAGAACAAGAAAAGTTCTCTCTCTGATTCACGGGTTCAGTGATTGAAATTAAAATCTCTAGTAATTAAAATCTCTTTTCTGGTAGCAATATTGTTCAAGAGCCTCTTAAGCAAATGGATTTGGGGAGTCCCTCCTTTAGATGTTAGCTATTTGGGGATAATTGGAAAAAATGAGTGCTTGGTTATGGACATTAATGAAATTCCAAACACAGTCCCATCCCCCCCGCTCCTGATTGAGAACTTTGCAACCAGCATCAGTGAGGATTAGCAGAATATTACAATTAGCAAGAAGGGCTGGATGAAAAGCAGAGCCACCAGCACACATGGTTTCAGGCCCCAGATCACTGAGTGTGTGTCTCCCCACCTCGTTCCAGTTCCCAGGTTGTTTAATCGACCCCTGGTAACTGTACTGATCAAAATCCATCCAAACCCAGTCCAGCACCCACTGGAGTCAATACGAATTTTATCACTGACTTCAAAGAGAGCAGGAGCTCTTAAAATTAGGATTTCAGTAAAAAGGGAAGCCTAAGCCATCAGTGCTCCTCCAAATAACATGCGATAAACAGGAATAGTTCAATGAGCTGCAGCATTATTGTTCTATAACGGAGGGTTTAGGACCAACACTATAGTATTTTTTAATCAGCGTGTGTGTTGGATCATCTTCCAGAAACCATCAGTGGTTCAGAACTGTCCTCTGAAGCCTTGGAACCTGCATCTTAAAATTCAGGCCCCTTCAAGGCTAAACTATTCAGGTTTGCATAGAGATATGTTGGGAGAAAGGGAGGGAGCATCATTTAAAAAAAACCGATAGTGTATTACAATCACTGCTCAAAAACATCTCGCAACTCTGTGCGTGTTTTATTGTTTCAGACATTGCTGAGGAATAGGGAGTATATTTTAGAAGGGATGGGAGATGCATGATTAAATGATTAAAAATCACTTAATAACAATAACCACATCCGGCTCTTACATCGCATTTCTCATCTTCAGATTTCAAAGCACTTTAGAAGACGGGAACATGATCCCCATTTTAGAGATAGAACACCATCCCTTTTGAACAAGCTTTACAAACTTGGATTCAGACATGTTCTCTGCCCTGAAGAACTTATCTAATGAGATCATTAGCCCTATAAGAAACACTTGCACCCTAGCCTGGCCCAGTGTCAGACAGGGGCTTTTCGGTGTGAGCCCTTTAATGTTGGTTAGAGATAGCACCAGCATGACTGCGTGTGCAGCTAGACCAGCATCCTGCCTCCTCTCACATGGATCCAATCAGTGGTCTATCTACACCAGCATCTATTCCTGATATACTATGAATTCATCCAGGTGGGCCTCCTGCCTCCAACAATTCTAGTCCCTAAATGATGCTTTAAAGGAAGGCGGCGGGGGGGGGGGGGAGAACCCATAATGCACTTGGCTGGTGGCACATCACTGTTGGACAAGAAAAACTTCTTGTGCAAAGCAGTACACAGAAAAATGGATCAGAAGGGACTGACTATAAAGCTTTAAATCAATGGAAAGTTTCTCATGCTATAAGAAACTTTACAAGAGGAAAGCTTTGGAACACTATCCACAGATTCCCCCAGAGTGACTTAGAGACCCAGCAACCAATCCCTATCAGAGCCATCTGTTTTATATAAGGGAGAAAATCTACAGGTTTTACATCAAAATTTGTAGGTTTAATTATTTAAGCTACACACTGTTATAAAGCAAGAGTAAAAAAAGATTTGTTAAATTAATTGACCAGGGAGAGGAAAAGTTATTATGTGATGTCAACACAGAGTTGCGAGTTTATTTCTTCTATTACCATAAACGTTTGCGTCTCTTTTCCTTTCTGCTCTTAAATATACTTTCTTTAATTTAAAAACTTTCCATCCATTACAGTGAAACCTGTTCTGACCACAGCCTCCTCTGCTGGAATCCACCTGGGCTTCAAGGGCTGATAATGACATTCAAGCATAAGGCACTGCCATTATTTTTCAGCTCACCTTATTTGACTTCCCCCTGGACCCAATTTGTGTTGCACAAAATAACATGGGGATCTGCACAGAATGGCCAGGCCATCACATCTTTGTAAAGTCAGTGAGGCATCTTTTGTTTCATTCCAGCCAGCTTTGATCTGACCATTCAACAGCCCCACAGCTCATTCTCTCTCTGACAAAGGCTACCGCGACCCTCGCTAGAGTATTCATTTGCTGCTACATCCTTTTCTTTACCACTCAATACAAGCAGGCAACAGTAAGAAACAATGCTTGTGCTCCTTCATAAAACATGGAGTTTTACATTAACACAGCTTCACCCCCTTAGGGACTATATGGACAAACTCTGAGTTGGGCAGTTCTACTAATACTTGTTCTAGGAGGAGGGACACTGGGAGCAGTGTCTAGGAAGGAAGGAAATGTGGAATTCTGGGGAACATCAGGGCGGGAGGGAGAAGATGCAAGGATAGTTTGGGGGAGCGGCAGCCCTGGACCCACAAGGAGGGCAAACGCAGAGTGGGAGAGAATGTCGTAGGGGAATATCAAGGAGACGCAGCTGTGGGGGTGGAGAGGTAGCCGAAGGTGCAAGGGAACGTTAGGTAGTGAAAGCTACAGGAAGAGCAGGTGTGAGGAGAGCACAGATTGCTGAGAGTGCACCAGGACACAATCCAGTAAGGAGAAGGTATGGCATGTGGGTCCATGCTCTAGTAGGGTGGGTAAAGGACTGGTAGTTGAGAGACAGTGATTATATTCTTGTTTTAGCTACTGAATTACTGTGTTACCGGGGTCTGTCATTTAATAAATACTCAAGTTGATTCTGTTCTCCAAGATGAGCACCAAAGGTGCTTAAGCAAACTAAGCAGTCATGGGGTAAAAGGGAAGATCCTCTCATGGATCACTAACTGATTAAAAGATAGGAAACAAAGGTCAGGAATAAATGGTTAGTTTTCACAATGGAGGTCCCCCAAGGATTTGTACTGGGACCAGTGCTGTTCAACATATTCATAAGTGATCTGGAAAAGCGGGTGAACAGTGAGGTGGCAAAATTTGCAGATGATAGAAAGTTATTCAAGACAATTCAGTCCAAAGAAGACTGCAAATAGTTACAAAGGGATCTCACAAAACTGAGTAACTGGGCATCAAAATGGCAGATGAAAGTCAATGTTGATAAGCGCAAAGTAATGCACATCAGAAAATATAATCCCTACTATACATACAAAAGGGGTCTAAATTAGCTGTTACCATTCGAGAAAGAGATCTTGGAGTCACTGTGGAGGATTCTCTGAAAACATCCACTCACTGTGCAGTGGCAGGCAAAAAAGCTAACAGAACGTTAAGAACCATTAACACACAAATAGATAATAAGATAGAAAATATCATAATGCCACTATATAAATCCATGGTATGCCCACACCTTGAATACTGCATGCAGATCTGGTCATCTCAAAAGAGATATATTAGAATTGGAAAGGGTAAAAAGAAGGGCAACAAAAATGATTATGGGGTATGGAACAGCTTCCATATAAGGACAGATCAACAAGACTGGGATTGGTCAATTTAGAAAAGAGATGAGTAAGGGGGGATATGATTGAGGTCTATAAAATCATTAATGGTATGAAGACAGTGAATAGGAGGTGTTAGTTATCCCTTCACATAACACAAGAACTAGGGGTCACCTGATGAAATTAATAGGCAGCAGGCTTAAAACAAACAAAAATGAAGTGCTTCTTCATAGAACACACAGCCAACCTGTGGAACTCATTGTCAAAGGATGTTGTGAAGGCCAAAAGTATAAATGTGTTAAAAAAAATAACTAGATAAGTTCCTGGAGGATAGGTCCATCAGCAAGATGGTCAGGGATGCAACCCAATGCTCCAGTGTCCCTAAACCTCCAACTGCCAGAAGCATCTGACACTGACCACTGTCAGAGACAGGATATTGGGCTAAATGGACCATTGGTCTGACCCAGCATGGCCGTTCTTATGAGCACACAGCAAGCCCTGTCCTCTTCCCCAATGAGAATGTGATGGACCAAATTCAGCAGTGACATAAATGGTGATAAGTTACACATTAGAAACAAGTTGGTCAGAAAATGGGTGTAAGTGGCAAATTGTTAGAAATTGCTGGACAACCAGTAGGGGTGTGACCCACACCAATTTGGGTGAGTCAATGAGAGATGCACCGGCTTATGTTAGGAGCTGCTTCTTCTTCTCCTTCTTTCCTATGGCTGGTGTAGAGCAGCAACTACAATTTCACCTGAAGTTGATCAAGCCAAATGGCTACATCAGGAATAGCACAATTTATTGCAGTAATGCCTCCTCCATATTTATAAATTGGGCAGTATGTAGCGATATGTTCGATGGTCTGCCATGGGGAACCACACTTGCACACCGGGAAGTTCTTGATTTTCAATTTGTACATTAGATGTCCACATCTACCAAGGTTGGTTCAGAGTTGACCAAGGTGACCATGGAAAGTCAAACCCAGGAATCTTTGGCATGGGATCCAGCACAAGATACTTATTTTTTAAGTCTTGTTTAGCCCAATCTGCTTTCTGATCATAGCCTGATTGCATGTGGCTAAATAATTGTTCCCAGAAAGGCTTGCAGGACTTATGACATTGCGGGGGGCACTGTCAAGATCTTGGTGGATAGGGGTTGAATATGCCCCTGCAAAAATTGGGGCTGGCATAGCATAAATTATAATATGGTGAGGAACTGCCTTAATTTACAAAGTGAGGCTTTGAACCCCCGTCTCCCCCATCCTGGGTGAGTGTTCTACCTACCGGGACACTAGGCATAAGGGGACCACCAGCAGCAACTTTTGTGCGAGCTTCAGCATGCTCTGATTTTCCCATCTCTGCCTCTCAGTATGTAAATTGAACATATTTGCACTCAATGAATGCCACACCATGCGAGTGTCACTCCTTTGCCACTTACATCCACTTTCACCTATTTGCAGACTCACCTGTACCCAGTGTGTAATTTGTTCCTCTCTTGACATCATCACTGACTAGTGTCTAAGGACTTCTATGGGACCTTCCCCTGCTATTCCAGTTGACAGGTGGGTGCTTAAGTTTTAAACACAGTATAGGAAAGAGCTGGGATTTCACTATGTGGCTGTAGATTTCTAAGTTAATGAGAGCCAGCCTCAGGAGAGAGCTCTTTCCACAAGTCCTCAGTGGTCCCTTGAATCTGTTTTGCAATGATGATTTATCGAGGCAGCATGCAATTCAACACTATCACTATATCAAAGCAAAGAAAATTATAAAGTTACCGAGCTCAGCAACTTTAAGGCACTTGCTGTCCACCACTTATCTTTAAAAACCAAAACCAAACTTTCTATCTAAATGGCATCTCAAAAGGCACATACCCTAGATGAACCTCTGACAATCTCAGACAGCTGCTTGATAGCTTTCGTGCTGGTAGTAACGGTTTTATTGGTCTCTTGCTGGGTTGCATGCCTGTAGAAAAAAAGAGACCATGCAAATTACAATTTAATTTTATAATGACTCACTCACATAACTCTCATAACACACTACAGCTATAACACCAGAATACACACAGGCTATGCGATGAAGCTGTGACGGCAGGTATAAATAGCAGAAGCAGCAACATGAAGGTTGGATAATAGTAAATGCTAGAGAGGGGATCCAGCAAATGGTCACCAGTTGTAGTCAGCAAGAGATATGGGTGTGGATCTGTGGTTTAATATGGGATGGTGCAAAGGGAGTCAGTGGTGGGTGGAGGGAAGCAGACAGACTGTTACAGATAGCTGGTTTGGCAATAACAGAGGAGGAGAGGAAGGCTGGACAGAAAGAGAAAAAAAAAAAGAGGGCGTATAACAGAAAGAGATGTGATGAAGGAGCTAGATGAGGATGAAGTAGGTCAGGATGAGGTTTGGCATTCCGATCTGTAATTTACACCAAGAGGGTACATGCTGCAGTTGTGGCTATAGGCGGTTAAATGTGCTAGCAGGAAGCAAGACTAATCCATTCTGTTATCTGACTCTCTCGTGTTCATGATGATTATTTCTTGGATTTACTGAGTGCTGACAGCCTGCCCAGTGCTGCGCAATGGAGAGGGAGACACAGAGGGCTACATGAGGGCATTGCCATGGAAGATCTAGAAGACCAGGAGACAGATTCTGTATCAGGCAGTAAAAGTAGGTCAGGATGAGGTTTAGCAGGGGGATTTAGGCGCTGCAGTGCAACTAGAAGGTTAGGCAGCAGTTGAGCGGTGGTTTTGTGAATTCCAGTAGCACCTAAATGTTCGATTTAGGCACTCAAAGTGGCAGTTAGGTGCCTAATTCTCCCTGATTAATCTAGTCCAGACTCCGCCCAAAGAAGTTTACCAGCTAAATCAAACATGGCTGTCAGCAGGAAGATATTAATCCCAACCCCTCACTCATATTGTATTGCTCATCCCCGCTAGAAGAGTGAAGTCTCATTAAAAGTTGGGCAGAAATATGAAAACCAAGTGCATAAATTACAGGTGAACAGAACAATTACTTCTTAAAAACAGGCTTCCAATGCCTTACTGGTTATCCAACACAATAGAAAAACAGAGAAATCACTCGAATGCATACACAGCATATCACTACATGAGGCTTAGAAGACATTTTTACAAGGCCACACGCAGCCATTTTTACATGGTCTTATGCAGCCAATCTACCAAGTTAGTAGTCAAACATACTATGTTTGCATTAGAAATACAGATCCGTCTATTATCTTCTCTACCAAACTCAAGCAGAGGAAAAGGCCTGGTAGTTTTGAAGAGAAGTAACACAGATTCCTGCGACATCTGGAGAAAATCACCTTTTTTCCCCTTCAGTGGCACACTACAACCAGAGTCCATAATACCTCTATGGAGTGATGAGAGGGCAAACGAAAGAGACAATCATTTATCCTGCTGCTATCACACCACACAACCTGGGCCTGTATCTAATGGATAGTAGTTCATACAGAAAATAAACACACATCGGTCTTCTGTCCCACAGTCGCACTGTGCCAGCGCCCACCCACGGGTGTCCCTGCTATGGGCCCACTACCCCACTCCACCCCAGTACCATGGGCACTGTCAAAGGGTGTTCTCTTCCAGGCCCTCACGCCAGCCCTTCTAGCTTCTCCTTTTTGGAACAAACCCAGCTAAAAAAGAAAGTCTTTCCAGGGCACAAATATATGTTCATCCACAGCCTCCACTTTTTGTGGTCAGGGCACCGCACCCCGCACTCTGGCTTCTTTTTCCTGTCTGGGATACAAAGCAGCTGGGCCTGGCTGCCTGATGAGCTCCAGCTGCCTTATCCTTCTAGAATCTCTGCTCTTCCCTGCCTGTTCTTTGACTCCAGCCAAGAAGCACATGGTAGGGAGGGAGGTTTGGAATCTAACTCTTTCCAGGCAGTCCTCAGCCCATGTCCTGAATCCTCTTAATGCCTAGACATCTTGCATTATCCACTGTCAGAAGACAAGATACTGGGCTAGATGGACCACTGGTCTGACTCAATATGACCATTCTTATGTTCTTAGTATATACACCATCACAGGCACATTGTACCATCCTGCCATATACACACTGTACCATTGACACCCTCCCTCCCTGCCACGGCAATGTTGTACCATATGCACCTTACAGCAGTCTGACACATGCCCTCTGCCCTAGGGGCACGATGTTCCATTGTATTCACCTCTGCAGCAAGCCTATGCAGGATCCATCAGTTATTAAAAAGAACTCCAGAAACCCCCAACAGCTGACCCAGGTAGGACGGCGGTCTGTGATCAAAATCCAGTAATTTTATGCATCGTACCGAACAACCCTATAAATGAAAGATAATAGTTCCTGAGCCATAGAGCACCACTTCAGATGCACATTAAGGACTCAGCAATACTATGCAGAGGAAGTGGACTCCTTTGTCACCACAGAGGCCAAAGAACTAAAGAGAAACTAAGATGTAGACAGGTATTTAACTATTTTAATTGGTCATAAGTAGAGTTGGGCAAATTTTTCAGACAAAGAGTTAATTTGTGGAAAGCTTCAGTAAAACTATTCATGAATTTGACACAAATTCACCAAATAGTTTCGGCCATTTTTTTAGGGCTTAGATGCCATTCACAGAATGGGAGGAGGTAGAAGGAGTGTGCTCACCTTATAACTTTGAGCCCAGTGGTCAGGGCACTCACCTGAGATGTGGGGCAAGGACATGGATTTGGCTCTCCCCCTCCCTGATCAGTTCCCTGTCCACAAGGCTATAGAGTACTCTCTATCTGCAGATGATAGAGTGGAACAGCTGTAACAGGAGAGATTGAGAGAGACCAACACACCAGAATATTCTGTAGCCCCCAATGTCCAAGGCATGCACCCACAATGTGGGGGACCCAAGTTCAAATCCCTGCTCCATATCAAGCAGAGGGGGAAATTGAACCTGGGTATCTCACATCCCAGTGAGAGCTCTAACTACTGGGCTTGAAGTTGGCCACCACAACCACCGCCACTTGCTCACTGTGCCTCAAAAATTTGCAAAACTAGGCCTTCATTTCCGTTGCTTTTAAGTTAAAAACTGCATGGAAACCAAACCAAACCAGATTGTTTCAAGGCATACAAAATATTTTGTCTGACTCAAAATAAAACTCGTTGACTTCTTCAGTTCACCAGCATGTGTCAGAATTTTGGAGTTGGTTCAAGTTGAAAGGATTTTTTTTTAACTGCCAACAAATTGAAAAAATCCATTATTCACCTCTCTCTCCAAATAACATTTGGTTATTTCATGATCCCCTTAGCTACTCTCTTATATTTTTATTGATTTGTGGAAAATATCCCATCCCATCGTATGCAAAGTGTTAGGGAGTGTTACAGTGGGACAGACTGAAAACCAAACTCTCTATCATCATTACATCTTCTGTCGTGAGGAATACCTCGTAGTCCAATCCCCAAATCAGTCATCCTACTAAGTGCATGACTTCCATGAGTGAGGGTTCCATGATTGAGCGTTTAACAAATACTTCCTTTTAATAGAATTTAATATAGAACAAGACACTAGAGTTGATCCTCAGTCACCTTCTTAACCTCAAAAAATTGTCTATCTACGGAAGTTGGAAATTTCCATATGGACAATCCGCATCCCGAAAGTAAAAGGCCTCATTGCTTCTATACATTCAATTCTTTTCCATGTCTGAAATTGAGTAAAATCCCAGCTTTGTTTGGATTCTAATATACATTTTGACCTTACATTCAGTATATCAGCAGTTATGACCCCTCCCGGGGTCATGTAGTAGGAACTTTATTGTCAAAAGGGGATTGCAGTGCCATGAAGTTTGAGAACCCCTGCAGTACATAATACATTCAAGTCTGGTGTAAACTTGTAACTTGGATCCTTCAATTTGTTGGCCTTAAAAAAATTGCTCTCTATCCCCCTCTTAAAACACATTTTTAACAACATTTTAGTGCTCAACTTTGGTAGCTGCAAGTGTGTTGTCAGCATAATTAACTTACTATGCTTCAGCCTCAGAGATACATTCAGAAATCAGACAGTGATTATATTTAATTTACATTAAATGCTATTAAGATCTTCATTAAAAATAAAGGCCTTGGAATTCCACCTCCTGCAGCATTTTATTTTACTTTAATATGCAATGGTAATAAGATATGCCGCTACTATTATTATTATTAGCTTCCTCCATATCCCTCTCCCTATGGAACTGTGCAAGTTAATTAAAGGGATGTCTCAGATGAATACAATTTCAATTTGAGAAAAGTCAGCCACACAATAGTAAGTTAAATATATGATCTATACAGATATAGTGTGAATATTTTATATATGCTGAAAAGAACTACACTGGCTATCATGATGTACTGCAGGACTACAAATGGGATGGAATTCTCTTAGGGGGAGTAAACTTTTCTGATTTGGGTGTGTTTATAAGAAAGGATGCAAAGATACTGAACTCTATAAACCACCGGTGGCGAAAGCTTAGCCCACATAATTCTACAATCAAACCCGTGGCTGTCATTTTCTTTAACATGGAAGTATGGCCCATTGGCTGTATAGTTCCTAGCATGCAGTTCAGACAGGTCCTAGACTAAGAATTGCTTATTTGTTGGCACTAAGTAATGGTATGAACCAGGAACTGTGATCTTAGATTGTATTCCCAGCCCTGCCACTGACTTGCTGTGTGATTTTAGTCAAGCCATTTTTGCTTCAATTTACCAGAACCGTGCTTCATTTATCCAGTTTTAAAATGAGCTCAAGTGAGAGGCAAGCGAAGTGATCTCTCCATTTCCCGCCTCTACCTCACCGGGGTGTAATGAAGCACGCTCAGGGTAGGCGGCACGCGAGCTGATTTTCAGTGGCACTCTCACTGCCCGGGTCCTGGCCACCGGTCCGGGGGGCTCTGCATTTTAATTTACTTTTAAATGAAGCGTCTTCAACATTTTAATAATCTTATTTACTTTACATACAACAATAGTTTAG